AAATTAAGTTTCATCAGTTTGGTTGGAGACAAAAGATGATGAATGTTATTTTAATTAACTTACAGTTCTTTTGAGCAATTCACCGGTCGTTCCATTCTGTACCCAGATTTTAGCAGCATGCAAAGTTTTTCTAGAGGGACACCTGGATAAGGCATTCCACCTAAAAGGTGAGAAAAACACGTTCGGAGTTTTTAAATTACGCTGATTGAAGGGAAACCGTTAGCATGGTAGAGCAGACATTTAATAGAGAATCAATGAGAAAAGTGATTTAAAAAACATATGTCATATTTGCTCGCTGGTTCAAGTCGAAAAGATCTATAAAGGCTTTGCACCATCACGTGTTGGCAGCCATGTTAGATGACAGGAACAATACAACCGTTTCACATGAGAAAGAATTTAATTCCCGAGAGCAAARAGATTTTATTGGAGCCCAATTAAGATAAAAGTGGAAGGTGAAACAACATAACATAACATCACCATTATTAATTGTTTTGCATTTTAGTCCAGAATAGTGTTCAGTCTATGGCACAAGCGAATGGAAATTTCAGGCAAAATACATTACRATACAGTGTGAAAATACTTCATTTACTTACTTGTGTTATGGAAGACACTATTTTGGCATCAAATACAAAAAAGGTGGTATTTTTGTACGATTTTACTTTTTAACTTTCACTTTTATCTAAATTGGGCTCCCTGTCTTTAGAAAACTGAAGAAGCCGGACGGGAAATACTTACCAAAAGTTATTATTTCCCAAACAACAATCCCAAACGACCAACTAAAAAGTAAAAATAAAATGATATCTTAATCTGAGTCTGCAGTTACTCTAATAATGGCGATGATTGAGGACTGAAAAACTTACACATCACTCTGAGTGGTGTAAACACGATCGAAGAGAGCTTCTAAAGCCATCCACTTCACTGGTAAACGTCCCTACAATGGTAAACATGTCACTATATTTTCTCCTCAATATAATGTGAGTATGAGCCGGCCTATAGCGACCAGTTTGCAAAAGTGCCAAAGAAAGTTTCTGCACGAGTTTATACCTCTATATAGCGGCCACTCTCTATATAGCGACCACTTTTCAAAATGCCACAGAA